AAGGAAAAGGTGACTTTCTTGCTGTAAACTCACTTGTGGTAATTTTGTATCTTGTTCAAGATTTTGTCTCATTAAAAATTAAGCATCTTTTGTGCAGGACTCTTTGGAGACACTTTCAATATGTCCAGGCCTTTGCTTTACACATCATGTTGGTTGACAGATCTAATTGCTTTTCCTTCATGCTAATTGTCCATTGATTCCTTTCTCAGCATCTCTCTAGCCATGGACTAACAAAGTGCCTGGCCACCGTACTGGACTTGCCGCCCACGGGTTCGCCACTTTCTCAGAGCTTTCACAGTGTCTGCTCAGACATAGCTGCAGTTGTGTGTCCACTGAGAAATGGGCCTTGTAACTAGCCCCCCGCCCCCGCCACAGGATGCAAGAATGTTCCAGAAGGCTGAATTCAGATTCTTCAGGGGGTCTCACTTGTCTCCCTGAAGGACTTCACCTGTGCTCTTGGTGCAGGCCCTGTTCTGAGGCACAGCTTTCAAATAGTATCCTGTGCTTTCTGTTGCTACCTCTCGTAGAGAGAACAAACGATGGCAAGAGAGCCCAAGAAACTATTAAAGCCATTCCTCAGACATCTGAGACACTGACCCTTCCAGATCTGAATTAATCCTTTTAAATTGGGTTACTGTGTATGAACCAAGAATATAGGTTGTTATTTTATTTTTAAACCAGAAGGCATCATCTCTCTGGAGCAGATGGGCCCTGGGCTTTCCTGTAGCACACTGCCAGGGCAGCAGAGGGGAGAGGTGGTGACGCCTCACCTCGGCCAAGCACCACTAGTGGGTGGGTGTGGACAGGCACAGCAGAGGGCGCTGACTCCAGGGCAGACTTGGAAGACTGGCCTGCGTGCTCCGGACTCCTGGACTGGGGATGTGGCCGTGCATGCTGCCACTACTTCACCTCCCGGGGGTGGCCCCAGAGTTGCAGTTCGCCACTCATTTGGTCAGGGAAACACCCTCGGTGTCAGCACCATCTTTAGTCACTGATGCAAACTACCCTGGTCATGTCACTGTCTTTCCAGTGGTAGTTAAGACAAACATTGAGGAGGAAAAAAGGAAATGCTGATGTCACAGAAGACAGGAGCTCTGTGTTTGCCAAAGGGGTGAATGTGTGTGCTTTTAACTCCTGGGTGTAGGAAGAAAACATCAAAACCTTTTTTAAAGTACTTATTTATGGCTTCTTATGTTTTAAATATCCACTTGGAGACATCCGTCATTACATAATATACTAGTACAACAGTGCATATATGGTGTAGAATTGAGGGACATGTGATAAAATACTTTAGTGATGGGATTCTTGATCAAAAGTGTTTGAAGACTATTGCCTTAGGGCAATGGTTCTTAAACCTTGTTCCCAGGAACCCCTTGAGTTCCCCAAGACCTTTTCAAGGAATCTCTGAGTTAAAGCTATTTTCACAGTAAGCATAGTCCTAGCTCATTCCCACTTATTTCTCTCCAAAGTGTATATTGAAGTCCTTCAGAAGCTACATGACATGTAACATCACAGCAGATCAAAGGCAGAAGATATGTTCTGTTAAGCCAGACATTAAAGGAAGTCTCAAAAGTATAAACCAAATGCCAGCTTTCTTTCTGGCTTTTTTTTTTAATAGATATTTTTTAAAAACCATGATTTATGTTAACATGTATTTATTATTTTTGAAGAAATTATTTAAATGTTTCTCAGGTTTAATTTCTAATATGATAAATATGCATATGAGATAGCTTGCTATTTTATGGATAGAATTATAGGTAATAGAAGCCACATAAACCAAAGCTCTTTGGGATCCTCAGGAATTTTTAAGAGTGTAAAGGAGTCGTGAGCCTCAGACCTTTGGGAACTACTGGCTGCCCTGGAGGCTCTGATGGCCTGGCCTGGGCAGTGCGGCCCAGCAAAGTGCTGCTTGGCGCCTGGGACGGAAGGACGCAGGAAGTGGGGAGGACTCTGGACGGCCAGGCGATCTTTCTACTCTTTGTTTTGGTGCTGCCCTCCTTGAAGAAGGGCAGGCAGATTTTTAACTCCTCCTCCGCCTGTTTCTGCTCCAATCCATGCCAGCAGCATAGATGGGTTATTGTATATTAAATAGGCTTTCCTGGGCTCCTGTGAGAACCCAGCAACAACTTGTAGCATTATTTCTGTGGGAAAATCCATTCCTGAAGTTGAGAAATAGCAGACTTACTAACAAAATAACAAAGTGTTTGAATACAGGCCATTTGGAGGTTAGAGACTGAGTTTACGTGCAGGTCTCCTCAGCAGTTCCTTTTTGGCACTTACTCTTAGGAAATCTTAAATAGGAGGACTATTAGGGGAATTCAGTTCAGATAGAAATAGAAAGGGAAACATCTGGGGTATCCTGTTCTTTCAGTTTCAAACCTTCAGAGTAAAAAACCAAAATCTGGTTTACTGTTCTATTAGTTCAGACAATTTAGAACCCAAAGTTGATTTTAGATTGGTCTCTTGTATACTAATGTGCTTGTTTTCTCTTCTTCAACTCATTTTGGTAAAAGGCTGCCAATAGTCGCATCCTTTAAAAAAATACATAGACTGGTCTGACAGACAATACAAGCTTTAGAGAGAATATGGAGTACACCAGTTGGGAAATAATTTGGTATAAACTGTCACCCAGCAGTTTCATCCGTAGGCATAACCCTAGGCCTAGAGTCAGTGGCAGTGTCTTCAGGAATACGTGTACAGGGTATGTACATGCTGCTCATGGCAGCGTCATTTATAGTAGCAAAAATGGGAGACAAATCAAGTGTCCACCAACAAGATTGCTTAAATAGGTTTACGGCGTAGTGACAGAATAGAACACTATGCAGCAGTGAAATTGCACAAATAAAACTCAGCTTGGACATCAGTATGGATGAACATACAGACGGGGGCAAGTCACTGCAGAATGCAAGTACAGGCTGAGCATCTCCTGTCTGAAGTGCTTGCGACCAGAAGTGTTTTGGATATCAATTTTTAAAAATATTTGTATATATACAGTGTGATATCTTAGGGATAGGACCCAAGTCCAAACACGGAATTCATTTATTTCATGTTTCATATACATCTTATATACATAGCCTGAAGGTAATTTTATATAGTATTTTTAATAATTTTGTGCATGAAACAAAGTTTTGACTACATTTTGACTGCAATCATCATATGAGGTCAGGAATGGAATCTTCCACTTACAGTATCATGTTGGCACTCCAAAAGTGTCAGATTTTGGGGTACTCAGGACTTCAGGTTTTCAGATTATAGATGTTTAACCTGTAATAGGATCGCATTTATATAAAGCTAAAAAACAGGTAATGTAGCAATATATTTTGTAGTAATTGATTCATAAATGGCAAAACTATAAAGAAAAGCAAGGGAATGAATGGTTATCCTAAAAGTCAGCACAGTGGCTATGTCAAGAGCCAGGGAGGAGGTACAATTAGGGAGGGGCAGGGGGGGAGGGCTTCTAAGGTATTGGTAGTGTCTGGTTCTTAAATGGGGTGGTGGTTTCAAACACATATATGTAATAAATATGCATGCCTTCATACAGGTCAGTCTAAGATTTTCTTCCAAGTCTGGGGTCTGTTTTGCTGAGGCTTTCATTTTAGTAGTTGAAAGAATTTGAAGAATTGATTTAAAAGCCTTTTTTGTTTTACCATAAAGTGAATAATTGAATATTTAAAACCATCAGGGCTCTTAGAAGTTATTTACTATAATAGCAACCACCCGTCCTCCTCCTGTTTTGAGGTTTGGAAGGTGGTGCAGTGTTTGGGTTGCAGAGCTGACTGATGTCACACTGTGAGCGTCCACAAAACCATCTGGGCTGGCTTTTGCAAGGAACGAAAAAGGAAAGCTTAGTGTGGTTTTCATCACTTTAAAAAATTATTTTCAAATGAGTTCTGTCTTTAGCAGAGCACGGGTCAAGAAAGTGGCACTGTGGGCAGTGTGTACAAAAGCCAGCATCTTCGTCTGTGTCCAGCCGCCGTTGAGTGCGGCGTTTGCGTCTGTGTCAAGGTGGAGTGGGAAGATCCTGTTTGTTTTTGATCGTCTGTCATAATGAGAGATGGTCGTCTATTGAGAAGAGACCCAAAGGTAGAAGCTGAAGACGACAGTGTGATCTGTCTGTGCCTTCTGGCGACCTCCTGCTGTCCACGTACAGGCTTCCTGGGGGAGGCCAGAGGGAGCCAGGCTCCGGCTGCTCCATGGGCGCCAGACAGGCTCACCCTGGCGTCTCCGCCAGATGCAGTGGTCACTAGCAAGTTCCAGGACTCAACCGTAAGCAGCTATGGTGGCACACACCCTCATCCTTCCCACCTCTGTCCTCCAAAGGAGAAAACGACTTCTTAACACCAGTGGACATGCTCCAAGGAGAGGGATGTGGAGTAGAGAAATATCAGAAAGGGAAGACGCTTTTGGGCTATTAAAGTTTTGTTGCCACTATTTTAGTGAGAAGTGGTGGTCTCTTCCACAAAAATGAAATTTGTTCCCTCCAGGTGGTTTTATGGCTCACCGGTTGCCATTTCTGATTGTATTCTGGTCTGCCCTTCTCTACAGCAGGAATATGGGGGTGAGTAGCACCCCAACATGCTCAGGTGCCAGTTGGGGGGTAGGTGCGACAAAAGGGTCGGAGTGAAAGATCATAATGAGTGGTCCGACTTTGGGGTTCCTTATTGTTCCTTAAATTATTTATAGTTGGTTTGGGAGAAGGAAATTGCCAAGGTTAATCTACCATGACTGTGTTGATTTTTTTAAAAATAGGTCTGCTTTTTGTGGCTTTTGATAATAACTACATGTCTCAGTCTTTTTTTAATGTTTTTAACACATTGACCGACTGCCATGTGAGTTGTATTTAACTCGGGCTAGTTTTCATCTTGGGGCTGCGTGAAGCAAAACTCTGCAGTTGGTTCCTGAAAATCTTGCTTGTTGATGTTCTTATTGTTACAATTAATATTGACAATTTAACTCTAACAACATGGATTGTGTTGCATATAACTCATGCACAAGAAAACAATAAAAAAATAACAAATCAAAAAGGATTTCCTGTGGCCCCAGGAAAAAGTTTTTTTCCTAGTGTGGCAATGTGTTGAGTAAAGATTACTTTCCTTATAGAATGTAATAATTGCAGGTAAATGGGGCAAAATTTCTAAAAATCCAGTTATTTAAAGCACTTACCAAACTTGAATAAGCTTCTTCCTCAGATATTAGTAATAAAAATAATGATAGTGTTCTGTGCCCTGTTTATTCTGTGAGGTCATGTTCTAGGCTCTCCATGTGACAAATGAAGAAAGGAAAGTGAGGAGAGACAGAGTGCCTACCTGGTTGAGGTGGCTGACCCAGACAGCTGGCTTCCAGAGCCCATGCTCCTAACCAGATACCTAAGTAACTCTTGACACAAAATTTCATTTTGAGTTGTGGCACCATTGTGGCTTTCAGGTGATGTACCTAAAACTTGGAAAGTTAGTGAAAATGAGTTGTGACGTGCATTGTCACCCCTGCCCACCACTGCTGTGCTCCTGGATCTCCTCCACGCCTCACCTCTTGTGTGTACATCACAACTCCTTTGTGAGGTGGTTGTTTGTAGCCCTGTGTCTCCTCCTTTGCTGGGTCCCTGCCCCTGGGGCAGCAGGTCTCTGTGCAAAGTACTGTTTTGCTGTTTTGGTGCTCCTTGTGCTGGGAGCTGGCCAATGAACGAGTGCCATTCACCTTATTTTAAATGTCCTTATTGCATTGCCATTTTCATTACTATACTGAGTTTAATTTGGAAAAAATATCCCCTGTGCTTCCTGGTAGATACGACTTGTTGCCCTGTCAGGAATGTAGCAATTAGGAGATTAGAAAAAGGAGACCAGATTTCCCAGCCCTCAGGGCAGTCAGTTTTGCAGAGTCCATTTGGTTCTTGGGGGTACTGCAGGGCAAAAGTCTATAGATGTAAAACTGCCGCAGAGTGTGACCTCCCTCACCCCCATTTCTTACTGCAGGACCCCATGTGGCCCCTGCTTCCTGCAGCAGTGAGTTGGAGGAGGCTGCGTGGCCTCAGTGCCAGCCCAGTTGCCTGCCTCATGTCCTCCCACTGCCATTGTCCCAGGTGGATTGTGAGTGAGGTGGTCACCCGTCAGAGCTGCTTCTGTTGGAGCCTTCGTGATAGCTGGATTAGCTGTGCCCTGTCATTTCCAGACGGTGGAAGCAGATGAGGATTGCAGTGCTGCCAGGTGGGTGGGCTATGGGGGCAGTGGTGGCACATCCCTCTGCGCCTGTGTTGGCTTCCACTCACTAAGCTCCAACCTCCTGGGGGTGAACCAAGGGAAGAGACGCCACCATGTGTAAGCAGGTCGTTTCCTCCAGTTCACTTGGGTCCCCACGCAGTGATCCCTCCTTGAGCAGGCTTCTCTCCTCTCACTCCCGGAGATTCTTCACACCCTTCTCAGACATCTCTGTCTGTGCCACTTTGTGCATCTCAGCTTTCTCTCTTGGCCAGCGAATGTGCATAACAATACCAAGAGGGAGGTGAGCCAGTCCACATTAAATCCATTTTTATGTCAAAAATTGTTTTCCAGCAAGGTGTTGTGACACACACCTGAAGTCCTAGCTACTTGGGAGACTGAGGCAGGAGGCTCGCTTGAGCCCCGGAGTTCAAGGCTGTAGTGAGCTGTGATTGCACCATTGCACTCCAGCCTGGGCAACAGAGCCAGACCCCGTCTTTGAATTTGGGGGATAGGAGGTAGAGGAGTAGATAGAGAATTGAAATGAATTTTTCTCTTTTCTCTTTTTAAAAGAGATGGGGTCTTGCTATGTTGACCAGGCTGATCTCAACCTGCGCTCAAGTGATCCCCCGACCTTGACCTCCCAAGTAGCTGGGATTGCAGGTGTGCACCACTGGGCCTGCCTGTTTTCTTTCTCCCCCATCCCCACCCCCTTCCCCTCTTAGCAGATGCTTTACTTTTCTCCATCTTCTTTGTAGTTTCTTAAATTTCTCATTAGGAATTCACTAGGAAGGTAAATGATAGGGGCCTATCTACTAGAATTTTTTTTTTTTTGCTTGGAATTGAGAAATGAGGGTGTAGGGCAGGACACCAACACCAGAGTTCATGTAAGCAAAAGAAAATACTTTAACCTTCAAAGCCAGTGAATCCTTAAAGGCTTTGGTTGCCCGAATCAGTATAATCTTGAGACAGTTGGACAAGGATGTTACCTTTGCCCAAAGTTGGGTTGACCCTGCTTTTTGGACAGGAAGCTACTGGCCGGCACCCTGGTGTCCCGGCTTGTACACTTGTTGCGTAGTCATATCTTGTTACACCAAGTTGAAGGATTTTGAAGAAAACTTCAAAGCTGACTGTAGGTTGCATTCAGAATTAGCCTAAAAAACATATTACAAAGAGCCACTTTTGCTTCTTTTGAGTTGTTTTTACTTAACTGTAATAGAATTTGCTCCTACTAGGTTTCTTACACTGTTACAGGCCCTCTGGCCTCTGCTGGTCAGTAAACAGGACTGTGTTTCTCCTGATTGGATCCTCACAGCATCAGATGTACTGCAAATTACACTCAGGAAAAAAAAAAGGAACAAAATTGTCAAAACAAAGTAGGTTAACTGAAGTAACTTAGGCAAAGCAGTTATATGTAAGCTATAATGTGGATTTCTAATGATTAAACCATTGCAGTATTAATCTTTGAACATGTTATTTATATTATTATTCACTTCCATGCTTTGTGTTTTTAATCCATAAAGCAAGGGTTTTCAACCCTTTCAAAATGGTCCAGAACACCCTTTTTTAGCTAAACTTATTTTTTTAGCTAGACTTATTTCTAGTGCTAGTGACAGATAAGACATTTCACTGACAAAAGTAACACTTTTAAGTGACTTTGTCTAATTAATCATAATAATATCTATATCTCTTTTTATAAATAACTGTACATGTATTTGCGAGATGTATTTGTCCATCAGATTTTGCTTGTTGAGTACACATAGTTAAGGCTACTGTTTGGTCTAATGTGTGTTTTATTTTGTTTTAGATTATAAGCTTCTTAAAATGAGGAATGTGCCATTTAGGGGGAAAATCTCTAGGGCTTAGGAGAACACCATGTGTAAATATGTTCTTTATGGATGCCAAGTGATTAAAAACACAATTCTAAGCCTTGTCAAGGGACTGACTAGCAGAAAGTTCTGCCAAATTCTTTGATGTTATTAAAGATACATCTTTCTAGTGAGTTTCATGTTGGAATTAAATCCATGCTTAATGAAGTGAAAATCACTTTTCAGACCTTTAGTTAAAAGTCCTGATGTTTGTGGCATTTGCCTTATATGATATATTAATAACAGTAAATGAATTAACTGAAAAATTTTAAAGTGGAAATGAACCCATAGTATTTTTGCTGAATATATTAGGAGAAACTTTGATATTTTATATATATGCAGTCTAATGATTCTAAAAATTGTATTTTAATTTAGATATAACTTCTGGTCACTCAAGGTAACCAATAGCTTGTTATTATTCAGCCGTAATTTATGTTTTCCCCATGGAAAACTCATCACTGTGGTATATGGAAATAGGGGGATTGATAGGCCCTGTGGAGCCTGGAAGGGAGTCCCCTGGGTGGGGACTGTGGCTTCAGTGGCTGGTGCTGGCACCTGCCCCTCCCTGGCCCCCTTCGTATCTCCCTGGTAGGAGCAGGGACTCATTCAGGTTAGTGTTTTAGGGTGGGGCTCAGGTGAGTCTGGGCTAGGGGATATTGCTATGGAGATAAGCTGGAAGAAGCCAAATTTTAAACCCTAATCTTGGTTCAGTGCTGGGAATTAAGTCCCTTTATCTCCTGGAAATTTATAGAGTGACTGGAGAGCTTTGGCCCAGCCTAACTGCTTTATAAAGTTGGTTCTGCACCCTTTATACCCACAGTCAGTGCCGAGGCAAGATTTCGTGGGTGCAGTAGTGCAGACATCCTGGGATGTTAGCGTCTGTGATATGAAGCCCTCACAGAGGCTGGACTTGGGGTCGGTTAATGTGGGGCAAACGTGGTCTTGTTGGGTATCTAGCAGTCTGCCTCAGGTTGGCCTTCTGGTACTGAGGGACTTGAGGCTCCAGTATGGGCTGACATACAAAAGGAAGAAAGGAAGGCGCTCAATTTTGAGTTGTGTGGAGTTGACTTGCCTTGCCGATTCCATCATGGCAGTGTGTTCACAAATCTTATAATTGAAATACTTCAAGGTAGCCTTAAATTCTTGGGTGAAAACACTACTGAATGCAGAAGGGCAGAGCTGTGAGGCTTGTGTTTCCTGTTTAGAAACCACTTCGCCAAATATATTAGGACAATATATTCCTTGAATATCTTGTGTTTCCCTTGGTAGCTGAGGTGCTGGATGAAAAGCCAGTTCTCTTCACCCAACGTGCATGGTTTGTTCTTTCCAGCAGAGAAGAGAGGTTTTGTTTTGCTTTGTTCTGGTGGTGGTTGGAGCAGATAACTTTTTGAGAAGATTGTAAAAATCTCAAGGTAAAACTTTTTTCTCCTTTAAAATGTAGATTGAGAATATGTAAATACAATTTTATTTAGTCACCAAAACATACTAGACATGGAATGAATGCTGTGCCTTTAGCTGCTCACAGGAGTTCGTACAGCTAGTTGAATGCTTCAGAGTTGTCGCTGACTCTTGGTGACTAGAGAAATCGCTAACTCTCAGTGACTAGATGGAAACTGCTCAGAACTCCAGACTGTAGACTGCCATTTGAAATGCCACTTGCCTGAAGCATGTGGATGTCCGGGTTTAACCAGCTAGGTGTTAAGTTCTTACTCTGTGCTAGGTGCGGTGGGCACTGTAGTCAGACACAGTTCAGCCCCTGCCCTCAGGGAGCTCAGCTGCTGGTGGGGACACCTGCAAGTCTTTAGATAATTTCTACGCACTGTGATAAGGATTTCAGGTACTGTGGGAGTGCAGAGTACAGGGGTCTGACCCAGCAGTGGGGAATTCAAGAGTGGGGGAAGGTGAAGAAGGGTGTGTGTGTGTGTGTGTGTGTTGGGAGTGGGAAGGAAAGAGGGTGTGTTAGGTGTGTGGAGGAGCATTGTGTGTAGAAGTTCAGCGGTGAGTGGGGATGGGGTGGGTAGGTGATGATTAGGATTCCTGGGTTGAGTCTGGAGAGAGGGTCACTAATGGTGAACTATTGAGACTATAGAGGTAGCAGACACTAGATCGTGAGGGCCTTTATTCGAGGGCACTGAGAAACCGTTAAAGAATTTTGGGGGAGTAAAATGACGAGATGTTCGTTTTAGAAACATCATTCTGGGGACAGTGGTAAAATGGATTTGAGGGAATCATGAACGTCGATTGGGAGATTGCTGGAATAGCCCACAAGCAGGAGATGCTGGCCAGTGGGGACAGAGAGACACAGGAGCTTCAGGTGACCGTGGAGCCTGTAGGACTCTGCTTCACGAAAAGAGGGAATGCGAGCGAGGATAGAGGGCAGGGAGAATCCTGGGTCCCTGATTTGGCCGTGGGGATAGTGTGTGGGGTGTGTGTACTGTTCTGGCACCTGCACACTGGGGAGCAGGCTTCGGGGTAAGCATGAGGTCAGGCTTAGCCGGTCAGGTGGTGACTGTCCTGTAGGCATGCAGGCTCCTTTTCATCATGGTGCCTTTTGTTCCAGTGATGGACAGTTTCCTGCCTGACAGTTAAAACCCATCATAATCACTGCCCCCATACCTTGTCTTTGTTCTCTCCCATGAATGTGTTGTGTTTTTGTTACTCTGCTTCTGCTGATGCGGTTAGCTCTGGCTGGAGTGCGCTCTCTTCTCCATTCTGACCACTCATGGACCATCTATTTCTCCTACACTTTGCACAGTTCCTTCATCTGATGGCATGTCTTCTCGTTCCTGTTCTCATCCCTCTGGCCCCAGCATCTGTATCGCAAAACTGACCCCTCACGTGTGTCGCTTCCCCAAACAGGTGGAGTTCAGGAAGGGTTCTAGATGACACATTGTACACAGGCACTCTCCTGCCTGTATGCGGGCTAATCCATGCACAGTGAGAGAAGTTCTTACATATCACTAGTTTATACCACTTCTCTGTGGTTGAAAGCCTCTTTGCCTGCCTAGTCTTTATGTAATAATCAAAAAGATGCTCATATAAAGGAAAAACAGTAGAATTATGGCTTTATTTTCCAAAGCCTTTTTACAGAATATGTTTGTGATCTGCATTAAAAAGTGTATGTGGCCACTGAGTTCAGAT